AACTAAGATATAAAAAATATAAAAATTCTTAAGACAAATACAGAAGAGAAAAATAATAATGTCAAACATACAAAGAATCCAATCCATTGAGAATCCAAGATCAATTTTCTTTCTTTTTTTTTTTTTTAAATTCAAGCAGAATCAAAAAGGTCATCAGGATTTTCTTTTTAATTTACAACTGGAATGAAAGTTAACATGGTGCATCGTACAAAGCATTCTGGTTGCATAAAAACAAAAATTATTCTCAAGAGAATGCCTGTAAAAGTACATCAAAATTTCTTCCCCTTTCTTTTTTTTTCTTTTCACTGCAATAAAATGAAAGAACTGTGAATGAAGAAATAGCTTCAATCAAATTCTAACCAGAAGTCGAAATTTCCATTCATTCTTAACTTACAGCAGCAAAGTGAAAAAGACAAAGTTTTTTCTTCATCTTTCTTTTTCATTTTCCTGTTGTAAGTTAATAATGGCTGGAAATTTAAAGAGAAGAAAAATGGTCAAAAAAATGAACGCATAACTCATTACCTGCTGTAGGCGTGGCGAAAGTTTGAAAGAAAATATTTTACAGACGATAGCTTATAGCTCAGGCTGTCTTTTGTTTTTTTTTATTTTTCACAATATCCTTGAAACCCATTTATCTTTAGCAAGCAGCTTGTCACTAATGCTGTTTGATTTTTTTTTTAATTCCTTTCTTGCAAAGCAAAAGATATTTTAAGATGCTACTTAAAAGAAAAAAAAAAAAAAAATGGACACTAATTTTTTCTTGCTTAGTAAGGGGTTCTTTTAATTGCTACCATTGCAATGTAAATAATCTGGACAATGTTTTCTTAATTTCAAGTAGCTTCCAAGTTTAAAAAGGCTAATTTTATTAACCATTCTAGCATACTGACCACATACTGCTGCAATGTACAAATGCACCATTGTTTATTGAATTAAAAATTTGTCTCCCTGACCTAGCAGGCCATCAATGATATTATGGGTGTGAGTCTAAATTCTTCTTCTCGCAAAATTCAACACTGGTGGAATTGAGACTTTCCTGATGTAGTCACTGGGCTTATCATGTTATACAAGGATGAGAGACAACAGAATACCTAAGGTCTTCATTTATAACCAGCTTGACAGTGGACAAAAGACTGTTGGATGGCCGTGGCTCAGTTATAAAGACAAGCTAAATAGAAACCTCTCAGCTGTCAATGCACCTCATATTAACTTTGAGCAAGGTGGCCTGGATAGAAATAACTGGAGATATTTGTGCCAGAGTGGTATCAGAAATTTTGAAATCAGTCGTATTGGCCAGCTAAGATACAAAAGACAACAGGGAAAAAGTGTCAGTAAATATTCCTTTTGCTGTATCCAGAAATCCTCATTGTTGCACAGTATGTGGACTTGTATGCAGGTCACTAGAGGGACTGAAATGTCACATATGACACAAACATAAAAACTGAATGAGGTTGTCGGATCATGATATATTGAAATTGACGGGAGAGTCCATCACCATATATATATAATTTCACACATACACAGATACATAAATACATACACACTCTTGGCCAAATGTTTGAGGCCATCCTCTGGATTTAATAATTAATAACTTTCATACCTTATTTGTTTTAATTAACTCCTATTAAGCGAGGATTCTGAAACCATTTAATCTGCTAATGCAGGATGTACAATTATTTAAAGAGGAGGGTTACCTAAAAGTTTAAATCCACCAGGCCTAAGATTACTATTAGTCAGCAAGTTAGATTCAAGCTAAAATTTTAAGGAAAATTTATGCAGGAATAGGTTAATTTTGTTATTATTGAATATATAATAAAACCCTTCAGGGAGAGAAAGTCAGTCTTGTCTGAAGTGAACTAGTAAATAAGTTTTGAAAAAGGCATGCAACCTTCAACTTTTAGATAATTCTTTGAAATTCAGAAGGTGGACCCAAACGTGTGTGTGTATATATATATATATATATATATATACATATATATAAAGTGAACATTGAAGTCAACACTCAGAGACGACAGGCTGTTTCATGCTGGATGTAATCGTCAGGCTGCCGATTGTGTTCAGCATGAAACTGCCTGTCGTCTCTGAGTGTTGACTTCAATGTTCACTTTTATATTTACATACATTCTATCTCTGATAATGAGCACTTTTTAACATAAATACAGCACACCTTAAAACTACATTTCTTCATATATATATATATATATATATATATATATATATATATAAAATGAAATGGACTAAGTCCGACAATTATTTTAATATATTTTTTCGTTTATATGTTATTTTTTATAAATACAAGGAATAAAATATTACAATGCACATTAACCCCTTAAACTTAATCGGAGTAAAAGAGAATGAGAAGACTTTAGAAGGAACTGGAAACTCAGTCCTAAACAGAAAACAAGGGATAAACCTCTACTCCTGTTCAAAAAACTGGGGAGGAGTGTAAACCATGTGATAGGTAAATCTATCTGCTCTTATTGAAGGATAAAAAATAAATAGTAAATAAAATCCTAGAGTTTAGAGTGAGATACGTTAGAAGTAGACTTTAGAAAGAACCGAAACCCAATAATTCAATATTTCTTTTATATATATATATATATATATTAATTAGTGTGTGTATGTGTGTCAAATAAAATCAGATGAACTATTTCAATATTCAACAGTGGTTCTCTTCTTAGTTGCAATCGCATTTCAACTCTTTCTGAATTGAATAATAATTATAATAATGAACACTTCGCTCAGGTACCTAGACTTTATGAATTTAAGCACTGTACTAGATTGGTGGCAAGGTCTCATCAATTTATAGTTGAATTGGCTACATGTAACCATGAGTTCTTTGCTAACAGTTTCTTTTCTCCCACTTCTCACTTGTGGAACTCTCTAGCAGCTCCATGCTTTCCAGCCAACTTTGATCTTCAAAAATTTAAATACAATGTCAATCGCTATGTAATGTCTTATTTAAATGACTTACATTGTTCAGACTGTTGTCCTCATCTTTATTGACATTTTAGTCATTTTACACTCTGGCCTTCTTCAGATTATTGGAATTTTGAATTGAATCCTTCATTTCATCCACTGGGGTAGATTGTTCTAGTTCCACGTGTCATGCCTCTTCCGTATGTCTTAGCTATCTCTTTTTAACTCAACTCTCCAAGTTTTTGTTCACCACTGCTGTAACCAGGGATTGAACTCTCAATTCATTGGGTCAAGTCACTGGATCCAACCAATGTCGGACAAAATAAAGTGTTCAGTTTGAAATTCCAATCACATGAAGAAGGCCGGGGCATACAACAATCGATACGTTGTGAACATGGCAATAAAGATGAGAGCAACAGTCTGAACAATGTAAGTAGCGTAAATAATTACAATACCTCATCTCAGAAATATAAACAGATATCTAATGTCTTCTTGATTACTCTTCTACTGTTTTTGCTCTTTAATAAAGTATCTTATTTTTTCTCACTCGGTAACCACTTGTGTCTTAGCAGATTCACTGCCTCGCATGGGGTGATCTGATTAAAAAAAAAAATTACAATTTATATTATTATTATGATGATGATGATTATCACAATAATCCTATTATAATTGTGCCTGCCCCTCCCTTCATTGATTCACATGATCATCATGACCTGCCAATACCTCATAATGGACCAATCCATTTTGATCACATGGAAAGGATACTACTTGGTTTCAGTGAGGAAATGAATGAAATGGTTATTTCAGTGAAATGGAAAATTTGTGGATTTCAAATCTTTTCATTTGTACCCACTTCCTAAAATCACATCCGGCATTCATATTTAGGATTGTTATTGCAATATTTTGCATGTGAGAGAGGAATTTCTACAGATATTTTATTGTCATAGAACTCGTCATGACTTTTTCCAATCATTAACTTAAGAATTAAGATTCATCAGAATATTAAAATAGGAAAACAGTGAAATTTTCACAGGTCAAAACTAATTATTATTATTACACACTAATTTATTCAAACTATTGTCCTCATCTTGGTTACTAGTTTTTTTGAATTTGTAGAAGGGTAGCTAAGGAAGAGTAGGAGAAGCAGACTGAAAGAGTAATGAAATTAATTTTAGCATAGAAGATGTTAAGAACCATGGCAGCACGATTGATTGATTGAGTGTTGATTTGTTTTACCAGCATATCTACCTCTGTGGGTTATTTAATGTTGAAACTGGATTTTTATTAAAGAATGTTTCCGAACATTTCAAGTGGTTGTGAGGTTTTCAAAATATCACAAGTTATATAGTTCAGGAGTATTTTAAAACACAAGGTGTAGGGTTCAACATACTTGGGGAAAAAAAATTATATATATATATATATATAAATATATATATATATATATTCAATATATGTTTATGTATGGTCTGATGAATTAAGATTGAAACCTCAGTTCTAAGGAAAGAAATCATCACCATAACATCTTAAAGTTTTCTTTTTCATAATAATAATTAATATTTGCTCTGTTTTTACATTGAGCTTTCTGGATTATACCCTCTTTGTAATTATCTATACAGATTACCAAATAATATATATATATATACGGAATTTTACCCTGAATGGGTCATTAGCAAACAAGTCAGTCTTGACCATTATTAATACTAGCCAAATCCCCGACTTATGAAAATTTTGCTTAAAAATATTTCACAAGTTGTATTTTATTTTCTTCAGATATCCTATTATTTGGGTAGTAGGTACATTTTTAAAGATTTTGAGCTTGGAAATAATTGCTACATATTTTTTTACTTCTTGCATTCTATCAAGATATGTTTGACCGTGAGGAATTGGTTGCAGTGAGTACGTGTAGTTACTGCCTTGAACCTGTGTGTGTGTGTGTATCATGTGTGTCCAATTCTTATTCTGTTGAGTACTATGTTTTGTCTGCAATCAGCTAATGGCTCTATATCTTCTTTCTTATTATAACACTATTTGCAAAACCAATAGTACCCCACTTAGAAAAAAAAAAAAAAAAAAAAAAACCTTACCTGGCCTTTGTCCTTTTCGACCTTTTTGAAGCACTTGTTCAATGACAAATTATGTCGTACAGAGTTTTTCCAACCAGTAGGTGCATTGAGGAAATAAGGAAAATTTTTTAAAATCCAAGAGTAAATGTCCTTGACAGGTAAGCTCTTTTGTGGTGACTCCTCAATGGCCATAAAAATCAAGCAACTGAAAGAATATGGGGGCTTGCTATTGATATGTTTTTGGGGGTTATACGGTACATGGGGTGGGTGAACAGGAGCTGATGTAGGGACAACTGTCCGTATATCTCCATTCTCTTTCTGTCCATCCTCATCGGTAAACTGCTCATCCACCTCACCTGCATTAATGTTTTTAATTAAATTTGTATCCTGGAGCCAGGCAAGGCTCGTTAGTTCATCATCATCATCCATCTCCCCTTTCACTAGCCGTAGCTCTGAGAAACAACTACTGCTGAGGGGGTTGGTTTTCATATCCTCAGAGTCTGAGTCCATACAATGAAGGGCCCGCGACAGTGCACTGCCTGGAAAGCTTTGGCTCAGGCTGTTCACTAGTCGTTGCCGCATTGAAGCATCACTCTCATCCAAGCTTCGGCCGGTGGCCATGGTTGACATGGGCCATATATCAGCCCCTGAAGAAGAAAGAAAATGTACGAAGATTAAAATCAGACATGAAAGAAAATGCTGGGAAAAAAAAAAAAGAAAAAAAGAAAAGAGATTCAAAAACTATAACTGCTATACACTTAACATCATTTCACTTAATTCTGAACTATATACACTGATGTGCCAAAAGACATGGGATACTAGTATGAAGAGGTAATGGTAGCTGGCATCACCATACATTGATATCATGAAAATGCTCAGTTGTGCCCTGACATGTAGTGAGTCAATGTGGACACTAATTAGGTTACTCATTATCTGAGTTCAAACGGGGCATGTTTTTGTGGGTATGAGACAGATGGGACATTTCATTTTTGAAATATTGGGGATATTTGACATTCCTTGATCTAATATGTGTTTACCAAGAATACTTGATGGAAGTCATTACTGCACACCATGTACGGTACAGTGGTCAACCATGAGGACTTAATTAATGTGTCTAGAGGTAACTGCAGTAACAGACAAACAAAACCAGTTCAAATCCGTCCACTTCTATGCGATATGGAGCAGAAGAGCCACCAGGACATCACTGTTAATATCATGATATCATCTGGGTTCATGATATTATTACTTGTGTGACATGGTCTGATCATTCATGGTTCAAGTTGTTTTGAGCTGATGGTAGAGTTCAGATGTGGTGCTAAGTCCATAAGACTATGGACTCCAGTCTGACAATCTTGGACTTACATGTAGCCCAATAACGAGTTATACCAACAAGATAAGGCACTGTATTATCAGGCGGTTGTTAACACCAGATCCAGCATCTCACCTGGGATTGTAATGTCACTAATTGAAACTTAAATGACTGGCAATGTGTATTGTGGTTTGAGGAGTCACATTTCACTTGTTTTGGGTTGGTAATCCGGTCGAGTATGACACCAAACTCATGAGACCCTCAACAAGATAGATAAGGCACTGCTTCATCGGTTGCCCAAATTGCCTAGAATTGGTTTGAGAAGTATTTAACAAATGATGTGGCCACTAACATTCACTGACCAAACAGGATCAAGCAGACATTTATGTTGTGGAGATGCCTATTCACACACAAGATCCTGTATCTTCATCTCTCCAGGAGTCTTCCAACCACTTGTGAAATCAAAGCCATGCTGAGATGCTGTATGTCACCAAGACAGAAAGTGTCATAAGTGACCTATGTCATGACTAATAATGACATTAATATATTCCATATTTGCTAAAAGATTTAAAATGATAAAAAATAAGTTTGAAGCATTAAAACAACAACAAAAAAACAACTATTACTGCTATACACTTAATGTCATCAAAAAGACACACATTTAAAATTAAAAAAAAAGAAAAACAAGTATACAAAGATGTATTGAGAAAATTCTTGAAAAAGTAATTGTCCAAAATAATTATTCAAATTTTAAATTGTTTGAATAAAAATTAATCAAAAGGACAATTATACTAAATAATAATTATTTGAAATACCAATGTTTGAAATATGTATGTGGTCTTGCTTTGAGGGGGGTCAATGCTGACTTATCTAGAACTAATGACACCCTTGGAGGATGGCAATACGGCTTTTTGCAGCAGCAAGTGTCATCCCATCATCCTACAATATGGAAATTCTTAAAAGAGAACAGGACTTGCAAGAAATTCATATTGCAAAAGTAAGAACAGGTTTCCAAAATATCAAGAGTACCAAGAAATACCGCAACGTAAATGGAAAACTTAAAAAATTAGTGGCATCTTTTAACGAGTACTCTTCAGTAAATGACTATTTGTGTCCAGTATCATAACTTCAGGTTATAAGGATTTTTCTTACTAAATTGTAAACGATATGGGTATTTCAAATAATTACGATTTGTGTATTTCCTTTTTTATT